CTGTGAAGTTAAAAATTTGTGCATCACAATTAACATTTGAGATTTAGCAATGTCCGATAGTTTCAAAATTTTGTATCGTTTAAAGATTGGCTCTGAGCTTTGCGGAGGATACACATTTTCTATAAGACGCACGGCCCTTTTTTGTAAAATTACCAATCGATCTAGTTGAGAAGCATAATTTATGCCCCAAACCAAGCAGCAGTAATTTAGGTAAGGAAGAATCAAAGTGTTATGGAGTAGATGTGACGTTGTTTTATCAATAAAGTACCTAACCCTACTTATTATTCCAATATTTCTACTTACCATGCTTGCAACAAAATTAGTGTGGCTTGTAAACTTAAGAGATTTGTCAATGATTACACCAAGGTATTTAATTTCTTTTTCTCTTCAATAGGTGAATTATTAATTTGCACATTTAGTCGGAAATGCAAAGAAAGGGTTGTGTAATGCTGTGTGAATGTTTTTGATACATTCAGGGAGAGAAAATTAGCAGCAAACCAAGAAGTCATTAGAAGCAATAGCTTACTGACATTGTTTTGAAATTTTGGTTATTACCAATTGTCAATTACCAATTACCAAATATCAATACTTACGAGTGCTTAGCAGTCATCTTAAAGTAATGGACTGGTCGAAGTTAGAAAACGTTGCCCTCGAAGAAGTGTACAAGTTCTTAAAAAGGAGACCAGTACCATAGCTACTGATGTTTCCTCCATAAGAAAAACAAGGGACCAAAGAGGAACCTTTTTATGAACCAGACAGCCATGCAGCTGAAAAAAGAAAATGCGAAAAGCCTATGGCTTACATCAAAGCGGACACACAATGTTTTGGACCATGTCAGGTCTGTGCGTTGTCGCGAAGACCTTAGGAAGATGCCCAGAAAACTTCGGAAAGAGTATGCAATGAAGCAGACCTAAAAAACAATACCTTTTGAAATACGCTAACTCAAGACCACTCCAGAATTGCAGGGAAGAAGGCCTTAGTGATGATGGGGCGTTGACCAACAGCAACGAGTGTAAAGCCGCCATTCTCTGTAAATTCTTTGCAAACGTTTTCACGAACGAAGGGACAAGTGCCATGCATGGGATGTCTAGCAGGTTTGACGGACCGTTTCTGGAAAACGTGGGCATCTCAGCCCAGACAGTGGCAAAGAAACGGACATGTCTTAAGCCATCTAGCGCCCCTAGACCAGACGATATACTTAGTGAGTTCTTGGTGAGTTTGTAAAAGTCCTGGTAGTACCTCCGAACATGCAATTCCGAGGATCACTGGCATCCGGAAGGCTCCCCTAGGATTGGAGGCTTGGTGAGGTAGTCCTGTTAAAGAAAGATAACCGACAGTCTCCAGAGAGCTACTGCCCAGTGAGCCTTATTGCTGTTCCTTCCAAAGCGCTGAAGTCTTTTGTCAAAGATGCTCTAGGTGATTTGCTGCGCTGGACCAGGCCCCCCCCCCCCCCCTCCCGAACCCAGCTGATGCAGGGAGTCCGAATCCAGGGCTCAAGGTCGGACTGGATCGACGTCGTCAGCGGCATCTCTCAAGCATCAGTGCTGGAACCGACTCTTCATCATCTTCGTTAACGGTCTACCACAAGAAGTGCGAAGCGAGGTCAACATGTTCGCAATGACAGTAATGTGTATTGTCTTGTTACGAGGCGCTGGACTGCGTTTCCTCTAAAGGCAGGCCTCGATGCCGTGGTCCAATGGCCCGATGAGTGGCTGCTCCATTTTAATGCATCGAAGCGCGAAATATTGCACATCGGCAACTGCACCCGAGACTGGCCTACTTCCTGAAGAACGCCGAAATTGCAGTCAAGCCCACCAAGAAGTAGCTTAGAATCTTCGTGAATGACAGGCTGACGTTCCATGCGCGGACGGTGGAGGCGATTTTAAAGAGCCAACCGGATGCTGATGGATCCAGGCCTGCCACGTCGTTTAGTCACTGCTGCCATGTTTTTATCTACTGAACCTTTCATTTCATTATAAAGACATTGGACTCGTTGTGTGCATTATGTGCGCACCCACCAACGCCTGGAACGCCCAAGCAGTCAGCCAAGTCGCTGAGCTGAAGACCAAAACGAAGACCAGAACAACCTGAAGACTGCATGACCACAAAATGCCTAGCACATGGTTCTGTACTTGTTAGTTGACACGAGCAGGAGCAAAGGAACACGATTACAATGTCGTCATTCCTCAGTAACAGCATATGATTGGGAGCTGCCATTTTCACTCTCCTGACCCTCTTTTGTGTTGACCTCTGTGTAAAACATTGCGTATGGAACCAAACAGACGCAAGCACACTTTCATTAGATTCAGCAGCAGCCATTATCAGATACCGTTGGAATCACGCTCTGCCTCCCCTGGAACCAAACAGACACAAGCACAGTTTCATTAGATCCAGCAGCAGCCATTGTCAGATGCCGTTGGAATCGCCGCTCTGCTTCCCCTGGCTCTTCACTGGGCCAACCACTGTTCATTCCAAGTGCTGGCTTGCGAGTGATTTTACTCATTACATTTTCCAGACCTGCAGAGTTCCTGAAACTCCAAATAATTATCGTTTTGTATGTGGCCACAATGGGTGAATTCATGCTGAACATGGCAAAACTGATAGCATTAAGAATTCTGGAAGTTTGCAAAATCGAGGTAAGTGAGTAAGTGTAATCAATCATGGTAAGTGATGCCGAAAGCCGGTAAACCCAAAATTTGAATTTTTTCGTGCCTGAAAAGATTTCAAAAATACTGATACAAAGTAGGGTTACATGCTGTGGCAGGATTAAGGAATGGCATAACTGCGACTGAAAAGCTGGCCGGCCTGCGGCGGAGCCGCAAGCGAAAACCAACACACAGAATCGAACAGTGTTCCGTGCACTGTTGGCGAACTGCTGGCGCAAATCCAACATTTGGCTATTTTACGTTATTTTGGACAACGTGCTAGGTTTTTGGAAATTTGCGGCATAAAAGCACGTATCTCAAATATTGGCGAATGTTTGTTTCGGATCTATCCGTTCATCTCCACGTCATTTTTGTTGACAGACCTTCGTAGCCGAGTTGTGTCCTATTGCCTTCTATTGCGCACGATTTCTTCCATTACCGTTTGGTATGAGTTGATGAATGTGCCTGGCTTTGCGGCGTCAGCTCATAACATCATCCAGATGATACCTGACAATGCCAAACATGTTATCATCCCGTTCGCCCTGCGCGACACGCAGTGTCTCACCATGGTGGCAACGTGACTGATATGGCTGGGCTCCATGTCCCCTGATAAACTGATATACAGTTAGTGTACGTTGTTCCCTGTATTTCTGAGCCGACTCACTGATGATCATTCGGCTCGATTCCGGCCCCGACTCTCGACATGCGTCGAATCGATATGTATCGAGCATGTGTCGATATGTGTGCTGAGACAGTACCTGAGACAATGACTGAGACAATGGCTGATGTGTACAATGGCTGTATGTGATGTGAGACAATGGCTGATGTGATACAAATCGGTCGATAGGTATGTTGAGACATCGATAGGTACGTTGAGACATCGATAGGTACGTTGAGACATCGATAGGTACGTTGAGACATCAATAGCCTCAGCTGTCGAGGCGCGTTCGGATGTCCCGGCAGCTGAGGCGACCGGCAGGATCGGTGCCTCACAGATCAGGCGGCCGGCGTCGGTGCCTCACAGATCAGGCGACCCGAGTGTCAGTGTCTCACCGCTCAAAGCGCCTGTTGAGGCTGCGCTTTTGCTGTAACTATGACGGATATGCGCATGATGCTGTGATCGAGACGTTTGTTGTGGCACAAACAAACACAGCAGTCGGGATGTTTGCTCCGCAGACAGCGACGAACGCAACCGGCTATAGCTGCGCCGAAACGCCAACATCTACAGCGGTCAACGTTTGTCGAAACGCTGACAGATACAGCGGTCAACGTTTGCCGAGACGCTGATGGACACAGCGGTCAACATTTGCCGAGACGCTGATAAATACAGCGGTCAACGTTTACCGAGACGCTGTTGTCTGCAGCGATCGAGAAAGGTGCAGATGGACCGACAAATACGGCTGTCGGGAATATGATAAAATCTCCGACCCATGCAGTGATGCAGACTTATCCTGAGGCAGCACCCGATACGGCCGCCGAGCTTGCGCCCAGGCAACGACGCCGAGACAGTGATCAGGAATTGTGCTGATACACCGTCAGATGCCGCAGTCGAGACCTTTGCTTGGTACATGGTCAGATGGAGCGGTCTAGGTGTATGCTGAGGTACGGGCAAGAGCACCGATGCGCACAATAAGGCGAACCAGTCTACTCGGCGGGCATTGAGGAGTAAGAGCATGGAAATATCGGTTCATTCCTGTTTTCTGTTTTAGAATGGCTGCCAGTGGCGAATGTGCTGGAATGTCTGTCAGTGGCCAGTAACGCAGGCAGCGGGGATATAGTGGGCACGAACCCCTAGCTTCCGAGAAGCCCTGCAGGGCCCCTCGAGACCTACGACTGAGGGCTCGATTTGAGGGTCTAAAGCTTCCTAAAGGTCGACCTATTCGGGGCCGGCCCGCAGAGCCTGGCACTTCAGTGCCATCCAGAGGTTCCTGTGCGCTGGTCAGGGACCCCCTGAGTCGACAAGGGACCATATGCTGGTCAGAAACCGCCAATAACGCACAGTCGGCTCTGTGTCGGCCTGGGCCTGAGGATCCATTCCCCAAGCAGGGACAAAGCAGGAGCCGGCGATCTGCATTGGTCAGGGCCCTAGCGTCTATCAGGGCCCGCAAAGCAAGTAGCAGGGGGGCCCCGTGCTGGCAAGGGGCCCGAGTCGGCCGGAGGCAGTGTTTGAGGCGGTCTGACGAGCCTGGAGGGCCCAAAGGGACCGACGATCGAGGGGCCCGATTGAAGGGCTAAAGGGCACAAAGGGCTGGTTGGGTCTCATTCAGATCTCCAGCCTACGAGAACGGGCCCTCAAATGACGGTCAGAGGGCGCTTTGTGCCGATCCGGTGTCCCCTTAGTCGATATGGGCCTATATGTCGGTCAGATACCACCAGCACCGCACAGTCAGCTCCTTGTCCGACTCCGCGGGCGAGAAGGCCTTCCGCGTCAGGAACGAGCCAATGTGATATGACATATCCCTCTAAGGGTCTCTGGATCGGACACGGGATGCCGCCTCGTGTCGCCAGAATGGCAGACGGAAGACACCCCGCGGTGGAACGGAATGGTCCCTTAGCTCCTGTTCGGGAACAATCATGTGCCTCCTAGTGTTCTACTCCAGAAGGCAACCGAGAACGACCGTCGTGAGATAATGGTTGCGCACGTTTCTCAAAATAGATTCGTACTGTTCAAAGATCAGACTGGTCGTATCATTTTTTTCTATAACTTTGGGGCTGTCCTCTGGACAGATAACAGTCACAGCGACATGCCAAATCACGGGCGTAGGAAAGGGAGGGGGGGGGGCAGGGGGGCCTTGGCCTCCCACTTTTCAAGGTGGGGGACAGCAATGTTAACTGACAACCCCCCCCCCCCCCGCCCCCCCACACACACTTTTCAGATTAAGGTTGCATTTGGCTTACTTTTGCACTGCGTTAAACATGCATGCCGATTTATCTAATCCGCCAGCCATCTCCCTTAAGATGCGTCATCTTTTTCGTTCGCTCATCGGCCATCACTTAGTGTTACAGCCACAAAGCCTCATAAGATGGGCTTTTGCCATCCCTGTGTTCCTTCTTGGCAAGGCTCTGGCTACGCCCCTGCCTACATACAAAAGCAGGTCAAGTCCCGTGCGTTGCATGATGGGCAATGAAGTGCCCTCCGGGCCAATCCATACCCAAGGCATACAGCTTCCCGGAGGCTATTTTCTCTGCGGTGGTGTGGTATAAGGGAAGATAATTCGGGAAAAATACTGTTGCAGGTGTCCAACACATGTTTCATACACCATGTAGAAGTAACGCTGATTCAAAAGTATGCGACAAGGTAGCAACACGATAAGCTCGCAGTCAGTCATGCGGGAGACATCCAGGTCAGGGCAGTGACCACTGACGGCGGACGGGAGCAGGGCTCAGGTAAGGAATTTATGACAGAAGGGTCGTCATTTTGTGGCTTGGTTTTTAAAACACAACCTCCAGCTTTATGGCTTTTGTCACATTGTTTTTGGCAGCTTCAAGCTCCCAAATTTGTTTCCGTCTAAAATGCTGCGGCAGGTCTTATTTCTTGAAGAGCAGCCATCGAAATGAAGGTGCATGAAAAACCTGACGCACTGTGAGCCATCGATCCACTTCCAAAATTCTCACCATCTTATATCCATGCTGTATTTTGGCATCTACACTGTGGAGGTAAATGCTTTCTTAATGGCCCAAAATACCTACCCGCTCGTGGTATTTCGCCTACCCAGGAAAAACAATGTTAAAATGAACGAATAATCTAGGGGAGCTGGATAGACTTATTTGGCAACTGACAAAAGAGCCGAATAGGCAATACTATGCACCGGTGATAAACAGCTCTAGACGCCTACCTAGCATAGCAGCCATGACATTTGAATAAAGAGCGATAACAATCTCCATCCCTACCCCCCCCCCCCTACCCCCCCCCCCCCGGTCATCGGGCTCGCTTTCCAGAAAAAAGTTCCTGAAGTACACCCTGAGCTTGGCCCCCCCCCCCGCCACTTTTTGAAACGCTTCTGCGCCTATGTGCCAAATAGATATTCTACCTTTACCTTTCCAGTTCCACCACCAGATTCTAGCCATCACCACTCCGCGGTGCTGTAAATGCCAGTTCGTTCTAAACATCAATCTCAGAATCGTACTGGTGAAATACACGTCCGGATTTGCTTCTAAATGTGCGATTCGATGTGCTTAAGGGTTGACAGGTACTTCTTTCAGATACATAATCATTTTCGTCCACCTGTTGGCCACAGCTAAGTGTTAGCTACGAGGCCGACGCTGCACAGCCTAAGGAGACTGTAACGCCCGGCGTCGAGGCTTTTGTTACCCATTAAGATTTGCGAGCGCGGGTGCTCAAACTACGTACATAATTTGTGACACTTGTCAAAATTCTGTCTGAATGTTGAACATTTCCAAATAGACATGCCTTAACCATGTTGCTACCAACTGTTAACCCATTTCGATCTATCCAGAAACGAATTGTGACGAAGCTTCCGAGTTTTTTGAGTCCAGAAACGGTGAATTGGACCATTTTTGACTGTTGTTTGTTGCATCAAATTGTTTGCAATCTATTTCATGCAATCGTTAAACGAATTATATCTTTACTTTATTGGCTATGAATTCAGTCAGAATTTATATCGCAGAAACTTCTGGCTCCTACTCCAGTAATAATTGGACACAGGAAAAATACCAATGAAAAGCATGCCCTCGGTAGCAATTGAGCCACATCCGACATTTTTCTGGGGGGGGGGGGGGGGCTTTTCCATATCAGGGCTCTTTGTCAACCCTGTACCACCACCCTTCTTGCCAAGGCTCTGGCTACGCGCCTGTCAGTGACTGTTAGTGGTGGAATGCCTATCAGTGATGACCGTCATTGTCAGTGACTGCCAGTGAATTTGTTGCCAGTCGAACACAACAGGCAACTGGCACTCGCGGGGCGAACGGTGGACAACACTTACGTCATCAATGACGTCTTTTGGCGCCATCGGGCATTGCGACACGAAGACGCCATGGACGAATCCCTACAGGGCTCTCAATTCCACTGATGCCCGGGCGTAGTGACAAATTGCCCCAGATTCTGTGCTGGTTTGTTGGCGTGTAACAGCACTTCCTTGCGATATTTCCCAAGTTTGAGCTGCGTCGTAACTGCCTCTTTCATTTCTTCCGGCTTCCAGCAGTTCGGTAGTAAAGCCGTTTATTTCCTGTTCGCCGTAAGACGCGCCTCCGTTCTGTCGGCACCTATTTGGTTCGACATTCGTCATCTCCATTGGTGTGGGCAGCGAAAAAATTGGCTTCGAGGTCAGGAGGTCGATAAATCTATGGAGCTCAAATAATAGAAAAGATTCTTCGTGGAAAAGCCGAAACGCTTTTGGGAGTTTAAGGTGGTGTTTTAATGGAGAATTGTGCTGAAGACTCAGCGAAGGAGGGATGCATTCAAGTTTGAGTAGGTGCTGCAAGTTGCAAGTAGGTGCTGTTACTAAACTCTAAGTGATTTTGGTATGCAGTGCATGCATGTGCTTATTGAGTGTGGAAGTAAATGCAGGAGGATCTTGACGAGTGCAACACGGCCATGTTGAAAGCTAGCACATATTACACCTTCTGAAAGGTACAACGTATATTTCATTAAAACGCCACTGTTAGATCGCAAAGCAAACCCAGAAAGCTACCTCCGCACAGCATACCAGTGGCGAAGCCAAAATTTTCTACAGGAGAGGCCCACTTCGCCGCTTAGGGGCTCTGTTTGTTGAAATGGCAATAGCTTCTAAAGCCCGGAATCCTACTTTGTGTCTCAGGGTCCGTCTTAGACCTCCTAAACGCTCTACATGCGTGCAAAGGGCACCGCCACCTGAAGAGGAAAAGGAGGAGGGGGGGGGGGGGGGGGAGGGGAGTCGTGACGTCAAGCATCTTCCCCTGGCCTCAAATCTGCACAATTTTGGAATGTACGCATATACAATATATGCTGCTGGTTTTTCGTAGGCGGAACACAGCAGGACATACAGCAGTTCGCATTTCCCGGTCACGTGGACGGCGAATTTCCTGCAAATCTGCGCGCATGTCTGGATGCTGAACTGTGCTGGGTTGGTTGCATGAGCGCGAAATACTGCTTGCTGTGCTCAGCTGGAGAGCCGTGCTGTGGTTAGCAATGCTTCTAAGAAGGCCTATGTTCCAGGATGTCGACGAATCAAGGGTCGAAGCTGACTCAGAGTGGCGCCTGCGGCGAAGGAACATTCCCTTCCACTCCGAATGGGCTCGCACAAACATCCCTCGCCACAACCCGCACGTCACCCGAAATAGCCGGACGCCGGCCCCTGGCGGAAATCAGTGCAGCAGGCAGGGCGTCCGCCTCGGACGCCGCTCGTGGAGGGGACGCCGCCGCCATCCGCCCCAGGGCTCGGCGGGAGGAGCGGGAGGGGGGGGGGGGGGCGGTGCCCCGTCCGACACCTGGCGGCGGTGGCCGACCGCGCGTCCGTGACGTCACGCGCCGGCCTGCGGTCGTTGTCCCAGGTGGCCGACTGGCGGGCTGGCGCGCGCGCGCGCGCCCCGGCGCCGCCGCGCTGCCGCCAAGGCCGCGACGCGCGCCGACCGGCCGCCGGGTCGTCGCGCCGCCGCGCCGAACCTTCAGAAGAATGCGACACGCTGTGGCCAGACGGCGGCGCCGGCGCGGCCTCCGGCAGCAACCGCGGGAGACGCACAAAAGACGTCGCCGCGCAGCCAGCGGGGCGGGACGCTTCCGCCTCAGCATGCCACATGCCGTGAAAAAGAAACTGGCGCAACAGTGCGGTTCATTTATGGTCCCAGCGTGTTATGCTAAAAATTGACCTGTTTTCCCATTGTCCTTGCTGGGTTCATCGCAGCCTTTTTATGCTCACGGGTTAAATTCAGTGGAACTTATATTTCATCAGTGGTTGATGCAATGTCGTGGTCCTCCAAATTTCTCTGTAAAATAACAGCCCTCCCAAAAACGATCACATTATGAATATGTCTTGAGTTTTGAACAAAAGCCGCTCAGACAGCTTTGTCATGCCAGCCTTGCTCAGCATTCTGCACTCACAAGTCGCGGACCGCCACGTAGTTAATGCGATGAACGGTGGAAAACGTTCTTCAAACATATGGCAGCGAAACGATGCAGGCACTCAAAGGTGAACCAGCTTTAGGTACTCCGGAGTCCTGGCAGAGGCTGGGTTTTACGCTGCTGTTGCCTGTGTAGTTTGTTCCGCTGGGAATCCAGTCCTCACCACTGGGATTTATCTGGCACCATCGACTAGGTACGGCTGATGTGACATCCGGACATCGGCCCTCCGTACACATGAGCCGGCTAGTGCTGCTGCCCGTGGCTCATTTTGTCGGAAGACCTTCGCGGTGGCTTGCGAAAATGTGCACTGTGCTCGATTTGTTATTCATTGTTCCAGGTGCGCAGCCAGTATTCCTTAGACAGGGACGGAGCTTGGGGAGAGCGCAATACGCCGATTTTTGACTTTCTGCCAATAGGCATCCAAGGCGGAACTTCAACGAAATGCAGGACTGTAGAGAGTGGGGGGGGGGGGGGGGGGGGGAGTAAAAATCTTCCGCTCCTTCGTTTAGCTGCGCACCTGCATCATCATGTCTCAAGCGATGTACGCATTTAATTATGTGCAGTTGGGTGCACTGGTCGGCGTTCGTAAATTTCCATCTCGAGGGGGGAATGCCCGTGACCAACGCTCGACGGTTAGTCGACAGAACTCGACATTTAGTGCTTTGACAAATTGAAGGCGTTGGCACACTGTACAAATACACTTGCTAAAATCACATGACCACAGCTCACATTTCATGCTGCTTTTATAGCCATCTCTCGATTGCTAGTTTTGAGCGGGTGGACTCCGCTCGGCGGGGGTCAATTTCCCTTGCACCGGATAGACGCGCTCGAATATCGCGCCAAATTGCGGATCAGCTGTTAGACCGGCACATGTCATCTACTTGGTTTGTTCTTTTATTTCGCGGAAGTTTATTCCCATTCCCTGGGCAAGCTCAGTCATCAAATACGGCTTAGATGGAAGAAACCGATAAATAATTTTAGTAGAAGATAGGATCTTATCTGTAATAAATGCAAAAGAATAGCAAACCGAAATAAATGTTGGCACGTCGCGAACATTACACTTATCCAAGATCCACGTAAACTTCAGCTGGGGGAGCGGGAAATCGCGCGCGCCGGCAACAGTCGAGGTCCGCGGTGCGCAAGTACTTTGGAGGGGGATATTGTAAGGTAAGGGCGCGGCTTTCCGCGTTTTTCTTCCGTAGAATATTTCGGCTTAGATCGCATGCCAACCTTTCAAACGTTTTGGCCCAACTAAGTACTCAGGGCCGGAGAAGAGCTCTTAACCGCGCGCCGAAAGCGTCTGGGCGTCGAAGGCTGGTTGGTATGCTGGTGCGCTACATGTAAGCTTAGATGTGCATTTATTTGGGGTGCCTGCTGAGAAGTATCGCTTGAAGACCCCTGCAGTAGTTGCAGTTTGTAGATATCTCAGTATTTGTGCGGGGCATTGATATGGCTTAAGTTTGTAAGCAATGGTCAGATGAGGGGAACTTGGTATAGTGAATACATAAGGTGGATATCATTTTGTACACTTCATGTTCATTTTTGTGTTGTAAATCAGGGGGCATTGACATTAAGAAATGGTATTGGGTGCCTTCTTGCGTGGGTTTGTAGTCTGGTGCCAAAACCTGGTTTGATAGCTATTGATATTGCCATTGTGAGATCAAAATGTCATGGATTTCTGGCCTGTGACATGTGCTCTGTCCTCATCTTCCCTCTGCATTTGTATGCATCAATATGCTCTCAAATGCTGCACTGGTTTATTTGATGTTAATGATAGGTTAAAATGGTAAATGATAGGTTGTGTGCATGTGGGCACTGCTTCTTAGGGCTTAATGCTTCTTTGCTTCCAGCAACATTGCCATGAATAAAATGGAAATAAGTCATTAGCCAGGGAAACATGGTCATGGGTTGAGACAGCTGATCTTTTCTGTAGCTTTTGTAAGATAAAATTGTGACCTTCATCGCCAGGGGCAATAAAAAAGAGGTCATGTTATCTGCTAGGGAGCATTCTACCAAAAAATGTGAAGGTTCATGTGTTGAGTTTGAACTTGTAGTTGAAGCTCTTTGGGTTTGGTTCAGCAGCTGTTGAATGCAGCTGTAACAACAGTTTGTCAGTGACAGCTTTAAGTTGACAAACGTGATCAGGAAAGCAGGATTTTACACATTGCACCGCTTCAAATTTTTAAAAGCACCTGCTGGCACTGCTACTTTTTGCTTGTCAGTGGCATGATTTGGCAAGGTGGGACACAGCAGGGATTTGCAAACCAAATGCATAATCTAGTGAATGGTAATGGTCCAGTTACATGAGGGTGTCATACTATGAGCTTGGATAATTTTTCTTGGAGGTATGCTATGCATAAATTGTGCTGATGTTTGTTGGAACATTATTCTCCAGATTAACATGTATCTCACTTTTATATGTTGCTGTTGAAATAGGTCTGTTATTTTACTTTGAAAGTGTAAGAAAAGCTGTCATCACAAGTGATAAAACATGTAGTTTTGAAAAAAAAATGATCTGACAACAGACAAAACTGGCATATAAAACAAGAGTATGTTAACAAAATCATTTAATTTGTATGACCTGTGTAATGAGACCAATTTTAAGACACTTGATACATACTCAACAGCAATACATTTGTCTCCATATTTACTATTAGTTTAATGCTAACCAATCATGCTTCTTTTTTCTATAAGTCTCACCATCACTGTACAAATTCCTCTTAATACCTGAGAAATGCAAACAATTTTCATCGCCCTGGTGTACATTAAAAATTTGATATCAACCAGCTTTTAGCCCCTTGCTTTTTCATCTAGAGCTTGATCTCCTTATTCACAAACTTCAAATATCTAGTAATTGCACTATCTGGTTGGCAAGTGCAGTGCTAGCTGGGTTAACTTATACTTTCATGTCTCATTGAAAACTGATGTAAGCATCTGAGCTTTGGGCTTCTGCCTTTGATTTGAGCAATTTTTTATGCTGGACCAGGGCAAGCATGGTACATCATGTGTGCACCTGCAGGTGGCCATGGAGCTAACTGCAATGTAATGGCTGTCTGGCGTTACATATCAGTCATGTACATGTCAATACATGCCAGTGCAGCACATGCCACTGATATACATGATAGCTATCAGCTAGTCTGAATTGGGGCTGGTGCAGTGTGACTATATTCCATGAATATTAAAAGCAATGTTCATATACTTAGGTCTGCCATTGGAAGGCCCCTGGCAAAAGTGATCTGTACCACCAGAATGGTTTTCATACTAATTGCATGTTTAGATCTGGCATGCTTTTTACATTAAATATGCTTAGATTACACACATCAGCCTGTTATGTAGACTCACAGCTGGCTCCTCAGGGCCTGAACCCCTTTGACTAGAGGGGAGAAGGTGCGTAGCTTGGTGCAAGGCTTTAGAAGCAATAGTGCATAGCCTCAGCTGGGGGCAGTTCAGGTGTGATGACTCATTCTCACACCTAGCACACCTGTTACAGAGGGATGGTCGAATGAGCGTGCGTCGTCTTCGGCTCACGCTGCCGTCGGACTGATCATGTCTGGGGCCAGGTCAGTACAGCGTGAGAACGCAGTCGGTGGCTGGTAACCATTGAGACTCGGTGGGCTGTGCACACCACCTATGGTTTCAATTGGTGCTTGATTGGTACCACCCAGAAGGCTTTGTTTCAATGGGTTCTCAGGTCAGCGCATGCATTTCTATTTCCTCTGGTCAGTATCGCATGCCGGGTGTCGGCCAACTGCTGGCATCAGAACTGACCTATTTAACATCCCTGCATGGAGGGGCCTTGCATCAATTGCGGTCAGGTCAGTGCTTATGACGGATGCGTATCAGTGGCATGTGCATTGTGCATGCAGTGGATCTATCAGAACTAACATGCCCCTTCTGTGTCATCCCAGCGGGGTAAGGGGGGTAAGTGTCTACAGGATAGTGAGGACCGGTAAATGAGCGCATTTGTGAAAAAAGTTGTTCGAGGCGGTATCAACACGTCCAGATGCTGTTCGCGTAGACTTTGAAACAACGCCTCGTGCTCATATTTAGGGATATCATCAACGTGGGAATGACGGCTGCTTTAAGAGCATCGCGGTCTATATGCGGGTGTCATATCGCCATTAACAACTGCTTTATGAAATACTGACGCGTGCACCATAGCACCTCACAGCGGTCGTGGCAATATGTTCCGTAGAGTATGCAGTACCCAGAATTTCCATACGTCGTAGTGCGATCATACGGTAAAATGGTTGACAATTTCCGACCCGCTTAGTCTTTACATGTCACCGGGTTGCTCTGCGTACATCTGCAAAAAGGAGATCCCGAGATCGACGACGCATGTAACACGCGCCCGGGTGGCCGGCTGACACCCTTCGCTCGGGTGTGGGGGGGGGGGGGGGGAGGACCAATTTGACCCCCCAACTGAGATCTCGGGAACTAAAAGAGCTAGAGACACCAAATTCGCAGGGTGTGTTGACCTGTACGTGAACTCACGTGGGTCAAATTTTGAGGTTCCTAGATCATGACCTTTGGGTCAAATAAGGTCAAACAATGTCAAATTGCAGGTTGGTCTCCAAAGTACCCTCAGAGCCTAGATAACTGTTTTTAAGCAAAAATTCGCTTGCTCATTTAGGGTAAGTGACCTTGGTTGACCTTTTGAAGGTCATGGTGACCAAAATCATACAAGACTGCTTTGAGTTTTGCACTTAAATAAGCGACAAAGATAACGCTAGACAGTATGTTTCTAAAAACAAAATGTTGGGCTGGGTCGTTTTAGGTCAATGACCTATTCTAACCTCTGAGAAGTCCATGGAAGATGTAAAATGCGTTTTCTGCCATTAATAAATTTGAAATGAGCACCAGCAACTATCCCACACAGTAAGCCTTAGAGCAGTAGAACAGGTTGGTTTTGACATTGGTCTGACGTACAGGTTGGTCTGACCTTCATGCCTGACCTTAGGTCAGCGTAATTTGCTCATTCAATATTTGAGTTTCCCAAGAAAGTATCTCAGAGATGCGTGGCTTTGTCTAACACTCCGTTGTTGCATCAGAATGAGCGATTCCCTAGAAACTGACTTCGCTGAATCCATGGCCTGACTGACCTGCCATAGGTCAGCGACTTTACAAGGTACATCTAGGTTTTTGATGCTAAACGATCCGCTACTTAATTGTTTACAGCAAAGCAAAATCTAGCATGGCTACGCCGCGCCGTTCGGAAACCATTTTGGAAAAGCCTTCGGATATCAACGCCTGAACATTTCTTGTTTCAAATGATTGCAAAGCGGTAACGATACCAGTACATTGTTAATCATCGTAAATCGCACCAAGTGTGGTTAATTAATTGGTAAATACCAATTGGTTAACGCCAAGCTTCCGTGACACCAGTACCCAGCGCTTGTGTTGATTGCTACTCTAGGTATGACACAGGCGGCAGCTTCCAGCTCCCAGCACGTAACTGCCGGCATAGCCGCGGGCAGTGCACATTGCCGTCGGCTGTTTTATCGGCTCGGGATGCTGTATGCAAAGATCACATTGCCGTTGGCCGCCTTGGTTAGGAAAGATTTCGCCCGTTTTGTCAGCCGAACTCCCAGATGCCGCTCTCATTTTTTTCGAGTGGCGCCCCGCTGGCTGCTCGCACGGACGCAGCTGCGGCCTGGGACGTTGCACGGCGGCGAGCCGGGCCGGGCCGGGCCGCACCGCCCCGCTTCCCGCCCGGTCCAGGTGCGTGCGTCGGGGCCCGCGGTGGGTCGACACCTGGCTGGACAGGTGCCGACGCCTGCACCGGCACCGACATCGGCGGCCGGGCGTCGGCTGGGCCGGCCGGCTGGGGCCGCTATCCACAACGCTGCGCCGGTCGGTGGCGTGCCGACCCAGCGCGTCGCTGCTGCTGCACGGCCGGCTGGAGACGCGTGTGAAGTGCGGGCGTCGAGGGAACGAGAGAGCGCGCCGGTGCGCACGAGTACCGGGCAAATTGTCTGGGATGGGGGGGGGGAGGGGGAGGGAGACTTTCGGCATATATCGTCGCATGGAACGAGCCTCCGAATTTTTCCCGCCTGATTCTTTTTTGGAAAGGGTCTGTTTGAACGCGCTGTCCTCGCTCAGATTAAATGGTTGCCTGTCTGACGGTAGTTAGCAGTGTCCCCCAGTGGTTCGCGTGATATTTGGCAGTTCGTTCGCGTTATGTTTTTGGAACTGTCCGACAGAATCCGCCCTATCTCGGCGATTCAGACGCCGGAAATGTTTTCCGTGATCAGGGGTCGAAATGGGCAGCACATTTAGGACTGCCTGGTGACCAGATGGAAATTCCACTTTTCGAGATCCTCCTTCCCTTATCTTGGAGCCGGTCCGCCGGGCCGGTAGCTTATCTCCTCAGTGGAAGGCGCGCCGCAGTCGCAATGTGTCCGCAGCCGACAATACGGGGAATCCTTATCTTTTCGAGAGATAAAAAACCGTGGCTTATCACGCCGCCAGTCAGAAGGAAAACGTCCTGCTTCCCTGCTGTCGCGGTCCGCCGCGCTGTCGCTGGGACGCTGCTGCAGGGGTGAGTCGCCACCGCTCCTCTCCCGGCCGGCTGTGTTCCAGTCCGGGTCGTCCGCTGCACCAGCTTCTGCCTGACCCAAGCTGCCGTGCCCACACGCCCTGGGCGTGTTGCCGAATGCTGGCCGCCTTTTGTCTTGCATTGGTGTTTGGGATTGGGCGCGAGGAGTCCGCAGCACGACCCTCGTGGGTCTCGTCCATCCATTACCGGCAGCGGGCTTTCATCGTTCCTGGCTACCACATCGACAGTGAAATTCATTCACATTAAGCAGATCTGAAAGCCAGCGAAGACAGCTTCATCATCTGTAGCGTATGCCACCTGCAACGTCACGGTTGTTCGTGGCAAGAGTTGCTATACACAAGGGCGTACGTTAAGAATGTGCAGTGGCGTACAGCAAAAGCCCTGCTCAACCACTCGGGTATCTGCCCGTGAAACTCCGCCACAGTGCGGGCACATGGGTCGCCGTGTGGGGTTTGTGCCGACTCGAGACGTGTGCAGCAGGCTGGCTGCTGAGGTTAGAGTTGCTCTGGCTGACGCATTATGCGGTCAGGCAGGTTCTGTTGGCTGGTGGGCGCTTGCTCGTTGCTTAGAAAGCGATGCACCCAAGCCAAGTTCTCGTGAATCGCAGGCTGGTCGACGCTTGACCATTTCAGTTTGTTTTCAGGTAGGCTCACCGTTACAATTACGGAATACTGTTCACAGTTACGCAATAGTCTGGCAGTCGTGACACTGTGGTTATTACTGGAGCACGCTTACGTTAGGTCACTTCGTACCCGCCGCAAGTTGCGCCGCAGTGTATGGTATGTGGGAAAACCGACGCTCCCACGAAAAATGTATTTGTTTTGCCGGACAGCTAACATGTAAAATTTGAGGCGGAGGAGAGGGCTGACGGACGGAGTTGATGCTGCTACGGAGAAACGCTACTAGCAAATTTGAGGGAGCATGCTACCACGTGATTATAGTGTGATGCAGCAAGTATGAAGTGGGGACGTTGGGATATGCCAGACGCCACTAGCCACGTCCACTGATTTAATAGCAAACCATAGGCTAAACGAATCCTGGTTGGACTTTCCAAACACCCGAAGGATTCCTCCCCGTATGGTCCAGCCTAAACGGACCTGTCCAAAACGGACCTGGGCTAGCACACATAGCACACGTATGCATTCGCAACCGCTGCTGTCATGGGCGCCACATGGCTAGGGTAGTGGGCGCGTCCTAAGACATAAGTGATCATCGTCATCATCATCATCGTCATCATCGTCATCATCGTCACCAGCCGCAGCTCTCTAGGCTAGGTTTTTCTGCGACCAATGGAAAACATGGGGAATTGCGCGGTAGGCTGTGCAGAAAGTGGCGGGCATCGAATCAGTGCGGGGAGTAGAGAGGCTGTGCTGGCTTAGGAACCTCCCAGGTTGGAGGGCTGAGTGACTATCGAAGCCGGTCCTTCCCATGCGTCACCGCAGGGATGACGTTTAACTTTCTTGGGAAGTGGGAGAGCAGTGGCCCGCTTCTGTTTTACAATGCCTATGACTTGCTGAAGAAATATAGCTGCTTCATTGGTATCACGGCATGTTCGCCACCGTGGGTGAGGTTAAGGTCCGATGTGTAGGCATCTGAGCATGTGCTTGTGCGGGGATGGTTTGAGATTTTCAGAGTTCTGCATCTCTACCGGGATGTTAAATTATGACGACTGCGAACATGTTGCATGCGAATAATCAATCCTTTTTTCGAAGCGATGTAATATATTGCGATGAGTAAATACTAGCTCGTGTTAACCCTGTTTTTTTCCCCTGCTGTCGCGGTGGCCCAACTTATTTCTGACCGAAAGTGCCGTAATTGGTCTTCCCGCCATTTCTGCGCGCGCGCAGAAGTAGAATTGGCGCCCAATTTTATCCCTCTGTCGTGGCGGTGGACCATTCTATTTCTGGCCAGAAGTGCCGTAATTGGTCTTCCCGCCAATTCTGCGCGCGCGCGCCTTCGCCCGGGGCAGGTGCGCTAGCGCGCACCCCACCCATGTCTGGGTGGGGTGCACCCCACCCATGTCTGGTATCCTGGCGCCCGGGGCGGCTCCTTACGGAGACGGAGGGGGAGGGGCACCGCCACGCATGAAGCGACCGTGGCGTCGCGGCGCCCAAACAGCTGATCAGTCAGCTGAGTGATCAGCTGATCGCGCCTTACGCGCCGCCCGGGCCCGCTTTCATTCAAGCGTAGTCTGCCATTTCGTCGGCCGGTACCGTTGTTCTGCACGGTTTGCTCGCCGCCGGGGGTTTCGACGGCAGCGCGTTTGCTCCGGTGAGGACTGAGTGCCGATTTCCGGCTGTCGGCGCTGTTTCCGGTCGTCGCAACGGTGACGACGAATTGGTGCGTTGTTGTCGCTAGTGCCGTGGCTCTGACCCGCCCGGTGTTAACGGTCAGGACAGACTCGGCCATGACTGTGGCGATGCCTGCAAGGGCTTAGTTTCGTATTCGGATGCGGGGGGGGAGGGTCCTCCCAACTTTGGCTTTAGCCCCCCCCCCCCAACCTTCCTCCAACATTGAGGAGCAAGTGGACAAAACAAAAACTGAGGAGGAACTAGTTTGCCGGCGTATTTCGGGTAGGTTTCGTCGTTTTTCTGTGGCTCAGGCTCACCAACTTGTTTTGTAAAACTACACTCCTGGACCATCGGGGTCTGCTCGATGTACCTGTCGTGATGGCAGCAATGACCCCCGCTTGAATGCCTCCCAGGAAAATTGTGGTATTTCGTGATTTATATGTTGTCTTGCTCTTTTTCAGCCGCATGCTCTTAACTTTGCGATAGTTCTGCGGAGTGAAGGCTTGAGCATGGACAGTTAAAGAGAAACTAGTACTTCAAAGTGGTACCATGATTATAACATTGCTTTCGTTAGGCATAGCGCTGCCATACTGTCAGGGAAACAAGTGAGAACATCATATGTAACACCATTTGGGTTGTCCTGTATCTGTTTTAGCTTAAAAGCTACGTTTTCTTTGACGATGCTCGCCCTGTTCTTTAAAAGAACGTGAAAATTCTTCGACGAGCCCAAATGGTTACTGCATGCCACGATACATAGGCATGTTTGCTGGACATCTGGAAAACGGGGTGGGGGGGGGGGGGGGAGGCCACGAACCAGCGCTTTATGTGCAAAGCTTCCCACAATGTTCTACTACACGCCAAACTAAAGTGTTACTACTGTCACGGATTTGGATGTTGTATGCATGGGTGGGTCTTGAAAATGCTCTGATTTTAGTGGACGATTTATGTGATTCCTTATCGGCGCCTCGCGGTGGCGCCGAGCTTTTGGGCGCCTGATGGCCACGTGGGTTGTCAGCACGCACAAGTGGCGTTAGCGCATATAACGCACAGCTGTTGTCGGGTCCCTTTTGCGTTATTGTGACACTCGGTAAGTGCACTTTCCCGTTCATGGGCCCTCGCATGAAGTGTTTGTTAACGCTCAGTTGATCTCGGTCCGTCCACAAGTCATAAGTTTTCGTTCATTTTTGAATGCGGTCTGAAAAGCGTGTTTTCTGTGTGGGTGTGATGTATTCTCTGTGGGTGCTCTCGCTGTGTTTATCGCAAGCTTTATACGCTCCTTTTTCTACCGAACACGGCGGTAGCCCTTTTCTGTGTAGCTCCCGCGGGTATCTTACGAGTGCTGTCAGCTTTCTTCCTCAGAACCTCAGGGTCTCAGAACGTGAGCGACGGGTCTGTTCGGATCCAGTCTCAAATGAACTCGTGTAATATGTATACATTTGTATAACTTGAAAAAACAGAGTTCTGCAAGTGGGACCTGCAGATTGCACTTGCGCTTGCAGACGCAAGATTGCACTTGCGATTTGCCCCTATTATCGTGAAACATGTATCAACATCACTCGAACACTGCTTCAAAACGACAATTACATACGGTTGGGAACGCTCAGCCGGAAAACATCACAAGTCTCGTCCCCCCCCCCCCCCCCCCCCCACACACACTCTTAGGACCATTGCTGAGCTCGGCCCGTGCCTGGGCGGATGCCGCCCGCCGGGTGTGGGCCTAGCGCCGGCGCTAACCGGCGCCGCCGTCTCCTCCGCAGAGGCAGCAGTCGGCCCAGTCGCGCCACGCCGGCCATCCTGACGCGCGCCAAGCGCCGCCGTCCGGAACACAGTCCGCCTCCGGCCATGGAGGTGCAGCTCGGCGCGCAGGTGAGTCCGCCCTGGTGCCGGCTGCAGTCACTGTCGGTTACAGCCTCTGGTGCCAGCGGCAGTCGCTGATGCCGGCTGCAATCGCTGGTGCCAGCTGCGGTCACTCGGTTACAGCCTCTGGTCCCGGCTGCAGTCGCTGGTGTCGGCTGCGATCATTGTCAGTTACAGCCTCTGGTGCCGGCGGTAGTCGCTGGTGCCGGCTGCAGTCGCTGGTGTCGGCTGCAGTCACTGATTGACTGTCACTGCAGTCGCTGATAACAGACTTATGGACATCTATCTACGGTGGATGCCAATCAAATTTTCCTGTTTGTTGGTCCGAGGCATTTAGCATTAACGCCCAGCTTCTTCTGCTAGTTTGTAGTCTGAAATATCAGGAGTGTTTTCCTTTTTATGTGAACCATGCATAAGTGTTACGAAACAAATGTTAATGCATATACTTTTTATAATTAACTGAAGCAGAGCAGCGTTTCGTAGACCCCCCCCCCCCCCCTGTAACTGTTATGACAATACAATGGAACGAAGGGGTCTCCATCTGTCATATGGTCAATACCATGCGATGACACCAAGGTAGAAGCGCAACCTTTTGTTTCCTGCGGTGGTTTCTTCAATTTGGCCGTCTTATGCATTCCTGTGCATCACCTGATCCAGGTTGAAATTTCTCCGTGGTGCATTCTTGAAACTCGCGTGGTCGCCATGGACGGCACTGGGGGTCCACACCTTGCGTTAATGTCCGATGCGTCTGGGCCCATTTGCTCGCCCCCCGGGCATCCCTGGCTCACCCCACCCCGATGGCGGCACTCGGTCCGAGAGCCAGCGACCTCTTCACTGGGTCGCTGGCTGCGTCGCCATGGACTCTGACACGACGGGTCTGGACTGACCCAGCACAGATGCGGCGCACAGTGCTCTGACGAACCTCGCCAGAGGAGCGCCGCACTGGCCCCAGAGCGCGCGTGATCCAGGGTGGCGTGCCAGTCACTACCACAGAAGCCTAGCGCTGATCCCAGCGCTCCGTGCCCGGGCTCCTGTGCCCGGATCACGCCACCGGGGTCCCACCTATGTCCTGCCGCCCGGTCCCCCCGCTCTGGTCCGTTCTCCGGAGTCCCTCCCCCTCCCAGCCGCCTCAGTTCCGTCGCCCTGGTCCCGGCTGCGTACTGACGCTGTGCTGTGGTCAGCAATTAGGCGGGGGCCGTGGTCCCGGCTGCGTACTGACGCTGTACTGTGGTCAGCAATTAGGCGAGGTGCGTTCTGACGCTGTGCCGTGGCCGGCCAGTTGGGCGGGGGCCGTGGTCCCGGCTGCTACTGACGCCGTGCCGTGGTCAGCAGTTGGGTGGGGGCCGTGATCCCGGCTGCGTACTGACGCCGTGCCGTGAGTCAGCAGTTGGGGCGGGGGCCGTGATCCCGGCTGTACTGACGCCGTGCCGTGGTCAGCAAGTTAGGCGGGGGCCGTCGTCCCGGCTTGCGTACTGCCGCTGTGCCGTGGTCAGCAGTTGGGCGAGGGCCGTGGTCCCGGCTGCTACTGACGCCGTGCCGTGGCCGGCAGTTGGGCGAGGCCGAGTGGGTCTCGCCGGCGGCAGCCAAACCAGCACGGCCTCCAGCACCCGCCTGCAGCGCGGTCCGGCTCGGAGGACATGCACATCGGACACAAGCCAGGCATTCCTGGCCGGCCTTCGACAGCCAGTGGAAGCGCCAGCGCGCCTTGTACCCCGCCTCCCGCCACATGGTCCCAAGTGAGTGCCGGCGGTGGTCGTACCGATACGGGATGTATGCTGGCCCTCGATGGGGGGGGGGGGGGGGCATGCTGCTTGGTGTAAGCTCGATGGGCATTGTCGCTAGGCTATGTTTTGCACCTTCTTTTGGAACACACTGCAGGGGTTGTTGTGAAGAAAAGCATGAAAGAAGTTGTGGTTTTCCGGGGACAATTTGCTCTCTTGAACGCCGTTGCGGACTGTTATGGATGTTGTTAACGGTTTTTTTCTTGCAGTGAAAGCAACTAATGTCTTTTCGTGCTAGGCAGTTCGCAACTGTGACCACGACTTTGTTCACGATTGTTTAGGTGTTCTCCCGGGGTACCGGTACGCGATGCCGGTTCCTCCGTCGTCCCTGTGGCCACCAACCCCCCGAGCCTCGTCGTCCCTGTGGCCACCAACCCCCCGCCCGTTGGCGGCTCGTGCGCCAGCTGACGGCTGCGGCGCGCGCCGGCAGGTTTCGCGAGCAGCAGGGTGATGCCGCCACAGGTGCGGCAGCGCGTGCCGCCACTGCCCGAGCTGCGCTGGACTGAGGTCGAGGACCTGTGGACCAGCATGCGCGCCAAGGATTACAGTTACCGGCGCGACGCGGCGCTCATGACGACACCACCCGGCGCTCAAGCCGCACATGCGCGCCATTCTCATCGACTGGCTCATCGAGGTGGGTGGCGCCGCCACACGTGCGCGCCACCAGCAAATGCACGCTGCTAGTGTTGGGCCAGATTTGTATGTTTTAGTGAGCAAAAAGTACAAATCTCGTTGGAGATATTTGGCCAATCGTAAGCCACAGCTGGCATACCAACTCTCCCAGAAGCTCTCAAATCTATTCGCGTAGCAGGACGCGTCAAGAGAAACGCAAACAAATGGTGCAGAACGATGCAGAGCACTTTTTGCCGGCTAAGAAAAGCCAGCGGCATGCGTTTGTCGAACGCCGCTTAACCTGCGGCTGGTCGTGGCGCCGCACGGCCGGCCGGCCGGTACCGCGCCGAGGTCTCACGCCGCCTCCGTCTGTCGGCGCGCCAGGTGTGCGAGGTGCACCGGCTACACCGCGAGACGTTCCACCTGGCTGTCGACTTCCTGGACCGCTACCTCAGCCGCACCACGTGACCTGCCCAAGTCGCAGCTCCAGCTCGGGGGGTGAGGCAGCTCCGCCGCCGCTGCGCGCACACGCCCGGCACCGGTGGCTCGCGAGATTGTTCCGATGGCGGAGATACAGTGGGGTGGCGTTTTGTGTGTACTGTGCACTCAGAGTGCTAACCAGTTGCTTCTTTCTACCTTTAGTATTATTTTTTGTACACTTAAACTCACTGTGCCCCTGTGGCAATTCAGGGATGTTGTGTGTTGATTTGTTTGAACCAAATGGAAGTAAAAACAATTTTCTGTGTATTTTTTACAAACGTTTGCAGTTACCAAGTGCTAATAATTGCTTTGCTGTAACAATTATCTCGAATATTTCCCTATTTTATCTTCAGTGGTGCAACACGGCTTTGTGTTATCCTTATATGCGCGGCGTTAAGCTTGCCTGAGGCTATTGCATCATGACAGAGCATGTTGGCGGGCATACGCTACGAAGTACGGTAGCGACGCGGCCGCAGTGCAGTGATGCCTGCCTTAGCACGCGCCCGGGTGCCCGGTTGGATACCCTTCGCTCGGGTGGGGAGGCCAATTTGACCCCCCCCCTGAGATCTCGAGAACCAAAAAAGCTAGAGACACCAAATTCACAGAGTGTGTTGGCCTGTACATGAACTCTCTTAGGTCAAAGTTTGATGTTCCTAGTCATCACCTTTGGGTCAAATAAGGTCAAACAAGATCACATTCCAGAATGGTCTTCAAAGGGCCCCTAGAACCTAAGCAGCCGTTCTAAGAAAAAATTTACACGCTCACTCAAGGTCTCTGCCCTTTGCTCAGGTGGCCAGTTGGGTACCAGTTTCGCTCGGGTGGAGGGGGCCAGTTTGACCCCCCTGAGATCTCGGGAACCAAGAGAGCTAAAGACACCAAATTCACAGGGTGTGTTGACGTATACGTGAACTCACTTAGGTCAGAGTTTTAAGTTCCTAGGTCATGACCTTCATGTCAGACAAGGTCCAACAAGGTCGAGGGTCCAGATTGGTTTCCAAAGGGACCCTAGAACCTGAGCAACTGTTTTGAGCAAAGTTTCGGACGCTCGGTTATGATCAGTGACCTTGTTTGGCCTATTAGAGGTCATGATGACCAAAATGATATAAGCCTGTTTTGAGTTTTGCATTTGGATAAGCGACGTAGATTACGCTGCTATATTCTTAAAAACAAAATGCTCACGTGGGTCATTTTGGGTCAGTGACCTGTTCCGACCTATAAGAAGTCCATGGAATGTGTATAATGTGGTTCCTGCTATAAATCTATTCGAAATGAGTACCAGAAACCAGCCCGTACAGCAAGCCCGAGAGAAATACAACAGGCTGGTTTTTACCCTGGTCTGACCTTTATGCCTGACCCTAGGTCAATTCTATGTGTTTATTCAATTGCTGTGTTGCCTAAGAAAGTATCTCAGAGATGTCTGGCTTCGTCCAAAACTCCATTGTTTGATCGGATTGAACGATTCCCTGGAACGTACCTTCGTTGAAACCATGGCCTGACTTTGACCCGCCATAGGTCAGCGACCTTACAAGTTACATCTAAATTTTTGATGTCAGACGATCCGATATTCAATTGTCTACAGCTATGCACAAGTTGGCGCGGCTGCGCCGCGCCGTTCGGAAATCAACCCGGGAAAACCGGGGAGAGGGGGGGGGGGGGGGGTCAATTTGACCCCTCCCTCACCCGAGCGCGTGTTAATTATTGGGGCTTGGTTTGGAACGTGGGCTTACACTGGTGAGATGAACAAGATGGCTGTGTTTACCGGTGCGCCCCTCTGCAAACGGTTTCACTCCGCATGCCTTCTCCGGCTTCGTTCACGGGCGTCTCACCATCTTCCCGTGGCAGCTTGGCCTGTGGCGGCCTCTTTCTGTAGGGGCTCAAGGTCTCTGGCGCCCTCTGTCGCCCCGTGGAGAACGACCCGCGTTTGACGCCCGCTCAATGGCTCAACTCGCCACCTCTGGTGCCCTCTGTCGCCCCGCGGCGCCCTGCCTGCCTGAGGCGCCTCCTCGCTGGCTGGTGCTCCGTCCCTGCGGCGTCCTTGCTGAGGCCAGTGGCTTTCTCTCGCTCCCGCCCTTGCGCGCCCCCTCCCGCTGCCCACATCCGGGATGGCCTCGTGTCCCGCGTCACGCGTGAGCTGACGCCGCCGCCTCCCCCACCCGGCAGGCATCACGTGCCTGATGATCGCCTCCAAGCTGGAGGAGATCTACCCGCCGAAGGTGGCCGACTTCGCGTATGTCACCGACGGCGCCTGCACGTCCGAGGACATTCAGGACAAGGAGCTGGTCATCATGAAGGTGAGCTGTGCTGGCTGAGCGGGGTGACGGCGGAGTGGACCGTTATAGCTCAGCAAAACACGTGGCCAGCAGAGGGACTAATATGATGTTATGATCACACTGGTTGCTGTTATTCTGAGTGGGTCGAGTGTGCAGTGTGACTTAATAAAGTGATGTGGGTATTATGCAAGCTAATTAATTTTCCCTGCCTTTTGATCTGCAAGGAGCAGAGGTAAGTCTGAATCATGCATGTTGAGTGCATGTTGTTGTTAGGTCCGCCAACGCAATGTCTTGTCCTGTCAATGTCAATGTCAACACTTTCCACCAGGCTGCTTTTAGTGCAAATGTTTCTGCGCTTGTGGATTTTTGGCCCAATGTTGTTTCTGGGTGATGCACTTTCACCGCCACTGTTACCACTGCATGAGGTAACACATGTGCTCCTGTTTCCTACAGATTTTGAATTGGTCTTTATCACCAATTACTCCACAGCATTGGCTGGGAACATATTTACAGCTTACAAATATGGAAGAGAACAGATTTGGTAAGTTTCGGACCCTTCAGGCCACGGTCATGTCGCAGTGTGGTTGCTCGTTTTGGTGCATCTTTTTCGTGACGGGTAACACTCATATGTGCTTTCCCTGTTCTTCTTTAAGTGAACTAGATCCACTAACGAAAAGTAAATGACCTAGTATCTAAGGTGGCAATGTTCGTCCGCTGTGTTCCATGAGGTTGTCTAGGGTCCTTCCAGACGATTAAAGCAGTAACAGTCGAAAAAAGGCAAGAGAAAAAAGCTTTCGGGAGGAACAGCTGACAGCTGTCTAGCGAAGAAGGCACACAATTGTTTTGCAAATCAGCTCTGTCGAAAAGCGGTGGGGCCGAACTAAAGCCAAAGCATCGTAGCTCGTTGTCCACGTTTGAGTTTTGAGAGGTCACTACATATCTGAGATTACCTGCGAATTGAGTAGCATCACCGACGGTTTTGTGGTCTCCATTTTAGGCATTTTTCATGCCTGTGTTAAACCATTCATGGAAAATTTACATTGCCCTCCGATTTGGACTCCCGCGGGACATTGGCGAAGGCATTTCAGTCTCCATGCTACCTTTTGCGGGGGCGACACGGTGGCCTGTACCCCCGACAGCCGCCTTGAGCCGCCCGCTGCCGCCGTGGTAGCGTCTGACGTCACGGCTCGGTGCTGGCATCCATCACACACCCCCCCCCCCCCGTTTTTCAGGCGAGGCTGTGACGGCTGAGGAGTTCACGTGCGCACAGTTCTCGAGCCTGCAGTTCGTGCAGGTGTGCCAGCTGCTGGACCTGGCCGTCATGGACGTGGGCTCGCTGGCCTTCAACTACGGCGTACTGGCTGCGTCGGCCTTCTTCCACTTCACCAGGAACAGGGAGCTGACCGTGCGGATATCAGGTGCGTGTGGGGAAGGGATGAGGCGGCCAAGACGATGGCCGACGTCGCACCGCTACTGCGGCTATGCTGGCGAACGTGGCCTGCTGACTCCCATCGGCCTGGCGTGGCGCGGCCGCAGCTGCAGTTCCGGCTGCGGCCGCGGCTGTGGCTGGAGCTGGCTGTGGCTGTAGCTGTGGCTGTGGTTTTGGATGTGGCTGGGGCTGGAGCTGGAGCTGGAGCTGCAGCTGGCGGCTGGGGCTGTGACTGTGGCTGTAGCTACGGCTGTGGATTGTCAGGACCAATGAGCCGATTTTTAGG